ACCGAAGGAAAATAGCAAGGCACTAAATAATAGACACCATTTTTCACTTACCTAACGTCATTAGCACCATACAAGTGGCAGATTAAAATGTCAGCGCTATTTCTGCAGCACCATTATATATATATATATATATATATATATATATATATATATATATTCACACACAGTTTCATCAAAAATAATAAAGAACGTTCTACGATTAAGCGTTTTATTTTAGGAGTCCATATAATAATTTTATTCTCCAAATATAAAGTGTGCTTTCTTCTTTTTTTTTTCTTTTTTTTTTAGTACATCATAGCACTTGACTATCATCCATTTTTTTTTTTTTTTTTAACTAAGCTATAATTAAAGGAATTTTTTTTAATTTCCCGAACTCGGTGTTGATTTTGTTTGTAAAATAAAAAAAAAAAAAAGAAAAATTCACATCCCTATATATATATATATATATATATATATATGTAAACGTATCTAAATAGAATGACTAGTCTTTAACAAAACTTGTATAAAAGAGGCATTGCGTGTTTGTAGAATGTATAATATAGTATAGTGGAGAATGTATAATAGTATCGAGCAAAATTTGAGATGGGACAAAGTACAAAACCATACAGACGACATGTTTCGACGAACGTTACTCGTATTAGGATTCAAGTCGGAATGAAAGATAAAACTGGGATTTTTTTAGGATAAAAGGGGGGACAAGACATTAAATCACTTCATTCCAACCTAAAAAGGCCGAACCGAAAACACGTCACGTTCGGCCAAACGCGCGTCTATAACCTTTTGCGATTTCTCATCATGACAATACACTCAAGCTATATATATATATATATATGTGTGTCAAATAAATGAGTTTTCGTAATGATGCTCTCTACCTGGATAAATGCACCCATGCAAGAGTTTACCTCGCTAACAGGTCATGCGATTGCTGATAGTATCTGAATACGGCATTAACGATCGATGAGTTTCACCAAGTCACGACCGCGTATATTTCAAGATATCAACTTTTGATCCAGCCATCGCTTCTCAGAAATCTGCTAAATCCATTTCAATTCACTTGTACATTACTAGCGTCTTACCGAGCGAAACCGAAAAATATTAATTAGCTTGAAAAATAACAAAGAATAAATCCGCATATGACAATGTCTGTAATTCGTACGCGTGACTGGATTCAGGCATCTGAGTGTTATGGGAGGGGGGACCCTGTCATCTCATTACTCACACTGATATAGAAATCTGGTCGGGAATCTATCATCTCCGATTCTAGAATTCGTGGTAGAGTGCGCCGCCACACTGTTTGCCAGCTTGTTTCACAAATGATTATGATTGCAATAACTATTTACATTGTAAGGACTGTTGCCCTCATCTTTCCTCTCATATTCACGATGTTTCGGTCATTGTACGTTCCGGCATTCTTCAGATTTAAGTTTAATGAATATTTCTATAGGCATTTACATAATTTTCTAGAATATGCGAATATTTCCGTTTGTGTTATCATATATCATTCTGATGTAAATCAATATAAATAATTTGAGTCATGGATAGAATTAACTAGAGTCTAGAGACACGACAATAATTTATTAATTTAATTATAGTCTATATTTCTGAAATTAGGTATTTCAAATATTTACATCATTCAGTCTGTTTTGCTCATCTTTATTACATGGTCACGACGTTTCGGTCGTTGTACGCACCGGCCTTCTTCAGGTGATATGAGTTGGAATTTCGAAATGAACCTTTTATTTAGTCCGCAGGGTTAGCTTGTTCTAAATCCACGCGTCATGCACTTTATGGATATCTCAGTTTCAGTTAAATTCCTTTTAGTATCACAGATCTCAAAGTTGTTTTTTCTCTCTATTGTGGGCAGCTAATGAACTCTCAACTCTTTGATTCGTGGATAAATGTTTGGTTTAGTGATCCAAAAAGTCATTTGTCCCAAACAATTGTGAATAGCCTGTCATTGTTTCACACTATCACCTTTAGGTAAAACATAGACAGGTAGATCAGCCGAGAAAATCATCAGTTCTCAAATTCTGACTCGTTCCTTCCAGTTATCACTGTCAGACATGGCTGTCGGCAGGTCCTCCGGATGGCATTCAGGGTCATCTTCAAGTTGGTCAATGTAGGTGTGATTAGGTCTTCCAACCGATCGTTCGCCGCGCAATGGGTTCCATAGAAATGTGTCACTCACAAGTTCTGACTTAGTTTTCCAAGAATGACAACCTAGCCGAAGTCTTCTCTCTCTTACCGAAACTAAGATAGGAGGAAGGTTTCCATACAGGCGTTTCTTTGTTGGGTGTTTCTTCCAGCCAATGTCCAATGCAACTCGTAAGATCCTTCCGTCAAATTATGCTACTTTGTGTTTCATCAATGTTGTTGAGCCGTAGAGCAAGACAGATTCTACCGTGGCCTTAAAAGTCCTTCCTTTTTAAAATTGAGAAAATATGTCAGATCAAAGATCGGTTCACTATGCCATATAGCTCATTAGAATCTGTCGCCTATTCTTGTGAAGAATCATGCAACCAAATAAGCATTCTTGCTTCAAGAAATTATGTACAAAAGCCGGTATGTTATTTCACCCATATACTAGGTCACCAGCGAATTTATTTCGCTTTTTTGTGTATAGATATTTGAAGTATTGTATTTGATATATTTTATCTACTTCTGCCGTGGTACCCGTAAAATAGAGATTTTTCTCTTTAGTTAACATAATACTAAAGGCAAATTTATTTCCGAGTGCGATGAGCGGTATTGAAGACGTGTGTGTTTATGTGTCTCTCGTCAAATATGTATGACTGTGATCGTATACACTTAGCGTAGCGTTTGAAATCTTCGATTGCAAACAGAAGAAAACCATATAACTAAATTGCAAAGTATAACTGCGTATCGAATACGGTTTCGAATGGCGAAATACGATGTTTAATTAGCGACGACATGCTGAAGCCTCATTAGTTCCGCCAAAAGGGACACCACAATGAGGCGTACGGTGAGAACGAGGCAAGGAAAAAGACAGATATGGGAAGAAAAAGGAAAGCAGAGTAGAAACGAAAGAAGGAATATCGTTTTTTTATGTTTTGTGAATATCATCCAGAAATGTGGCGCCATAAAATAAATGGAAACTTATGAGAATAGAAAATCGAGGTATCCTCAAGTATGTAAATTGATATAAAATTTCAAGACGTAAAAATGGCGTTGAAAAGAACTTGTAACTGAAAAATGTTAGCATTATTGTCAGCACATGTAAAAAAAAAAAAAAAAAAACAGACGAGACAAACGCATAAAAGTGGATCTTAGGTACTCGTTGTAATATTATGTTCGGAAAATTTTTTCTGCCTTCTCGGATCATTCGTTTGATTTTAACTTGGCTTTTTTGTATCAAACTAAATTAATATCTGCATAGGTCTGCATTTTAATTCCTGGAATTGTTCAAGAAAAGCAAAAATTGAAAACATTGCTTTTTGTCTTTTTTATCTATACTATAGATTGTACGTGTTCTCGACATATCTGGGTATGTCAAAGTTCGGTCTAATTTTTATGTGGTTGATGAATCTTAGGTTTATTTGCATCCCATAGAGACTGGTTGTTTTTTGTTAGTGGGTTGGTCGGGTTTCGCTTGATTGTTTAGTGGGCTGGTCGGGTTTTGTTTGTTTTTACTGGCTGATTGGATTTGTGTTATAAATTACAGGATTTTTTTTTTTTTTTTTTTGTCATCTAGTCAAAAATACTGATATTTTTCTTTTTTGCCTGGTTGTTTCTTACTTTTGTCTGTCTTTTTTATACTTTTTTATACATTTGTTGCCTTTTTTTCTGTCTTTATTTTGTTCTTTTTGCCTGTCTGTTTTTCTTTTCCTTTTTGTCTGTTTTTCTTTTCCTTTTTGTCTGTTTTTCTTTTCCTTTTTGTCTGTTTTTCTTTTCCTTTTTGTCTGTTTTTCTTTTCCTTTTTGTCTGTTTTTCTTTTCCTTTTTGTCTGTTTTTCTTTTCCTTTTTGTCTGTTTTTCTTTTCCTTTTTGTCTGTTTTTCTTTTCGCTGATAGGATAGATGTTTTGCATTTAATATATTTACTACCAGAAACGTAAATATTTACCATAAAAAATTGCCCTCGAATTCTTTTCCATATTTATACACTATTATTTGTAAATAGGCTTTACTGATTATTTTTTTTTCCTCTTATAGACGTAAGAAACAACTGTTATAAATAATATGCCAAAATAATTTCCGACAAAGACTCGGATGCTACCTAGATACCCGTCTTCATATTTTAGGTGCATTTTACACGGCAGGAATAAAATAAAAGTTCTTTCCTTCTATAATCTTAAGATTTTAACTTTTTCAACCTTCCTATTATTGCCAAAGATGTATTTTCGTTTTCACCTCAGTCTTGTTCAGGTGAACGTTATATTTTTTATTTCGCTGATAATTTTTGTCTTCTACATTATTGCTTTGATCTTTGCCGAGTCGTTAATTTACGAGTACAACGTGAACAGCTTTCATTCTGATGTGTAATTCATATAATAAAATCCAACCTGTGATCGGTTCGCTTCAGAGAGAACCCGTTCTTTCCTCATTATCGGCTATTATTAAATTGCAACAAATTAGGCTGCATTTCTTTTAATCATCATAATTTGTATTAATTATGATCTAACACACATTATTCTTTGAGTAGTATTTTTTTATAGTTTTTATTTTTTTTATAGTTTTTACTTACCAAATATTGTAAAAATAAATGGCTATTTTGCTTGTGGTAATTCGTAATTAGAAACCTGGTTTTAATATATTTTCCATTCAATGTGTCTAATACAAAATATATCAGCTTTATTTGGAGTTATTTTTGAAATGGCAAAGTTGTGAATTCAGTTTCTAAGGGGGAAAATAACATGAAGAAGGATACCAAAAAAATTCGAAACGAATATTTTTTATTAGATTTTAAAAGTGTGTCTGATCAAGAAATCTTCGGCTTTCTTTTGATGAATTATGTATTACTGGGAGGCTTAGGGCTTCGTCACTTTGAAACACTGGTTTCCGTATGATCACCGAAGTTAAGCAATGTCGAACTTTGTCAGTATCTAGATGGGGGATCGCTTGGGTATACCAGGCGCTGTAGGATTGGATATCCGGGTGGTGTAAATGGAGTGTGGATCAGAACTATTAATCGGAGAGCCGTGTTCCAATTCGCGTTGGGTTCGTTCTGTGGCACCATTTAACGAGGCAGAAAAAGAAAAGGAGAGGCTAAGGACCGAATCGTGGATGATAAGCAGAACACACACACGGCTAAGAGAATGGATAAGGGATATTTTGATAAGTAACAAATGGCGAAAGGGTGTCATTACAATGACAGGGAAATTCTGAGTAAAAAGAAAGGGAAAGAAAGAAAGAATCAGATATGTTTTGGCGACGGCTGTGTTATCTAAGGATATGAAAACAAACTATTGGTAGGGGAAGGCATCTTATTATCAACTACAGACCGACTGGCCAAAGAAAAATTCAAATGAAAAGGTTATTTCGATAAGTGACGAAAAACAGGCAACTAAAAGGACTTTGGACAGATATGAAAAATTAAAAGCCACCCACGAGTGTCCGCTGACCGCTTTCCTTCGACGGAACATCCTTGGCCTGCGATAATAAAATTATGTTACCAGAAATATGTACCGAAGGGAAATGAATGGGGAATTTAGAAATGTCTTTTTTCGGGGCGACGTTGGCCGTGTTTTTTTTTGGACCACCCATTCTGATAATTGGCGATAAAATAAAATACCTGACGAAGACCACGTGTAGAACAAGAGTTATGACTGCCATTGTTCATATTGTCCCGTTTGCGGCTAGAGAAATGATAACGGCGATTAAGAGGAAGAAAAGGAAAAGAAGGGATAATTTTTTTTAGTTAAGCAAGATATTTTTTTTCCAAAGCCACGGATTGTTCCCTGAAACAAAGCCGCGGATTCGTCCACGCCCGACTAAGACATCATTGGTCGAGTAGTGATCACGTGACGCACGAAGGAGGCTGTCCCGGCCTCATCCATAGTATAGGTATGAGAAGCTGCTACGAAGAAGTGGGGAGGGCAGTTCACGCCCCTCTGAAGCATGGTGAGAAGGTGGGAGTAAGGAAAGGTTCCCAAAAATGGAAAAAAATGTGGAAATTCCTAACCAGAGAGGTGGATATGTATTTAGAATTATCGAGGAAACCCCGACGCCGACAGAGCCACCCCGGTTTTGGTCGGCGTCCATATAAGCGAAGCCACAACGAGCAGAAATCAGTTCCAGTCAGTTCAGTTCCAGAAAAGTTTGAGTTGAGTCTCCAGTTGAAGCCGCCTCGCTCTGACCAAGATTCACGCAAATTCCGGACTCCTCTTCCACCCAAGAACAATTATTTTGAAGAGCGACTTAGATCCAGACCACCGAAATAAGTTTTTTTTCAACTTTCGTCCGAAGACACACCGAAAACCAATTTCTTAGAGAGCAAACAACTTGAAGCGCTAAAACTTGCCTAACGGAAAACGACGTGTCACAATCCACAGAACGGGTCGGGAGTTAGATGCAGTCCTATGTATCGAACAACTAGACATAAAGTTTGTTACCTTTTTTTTTGATACTTTGAACTTTTTTGAGTTTTCATTTTATTTTCTTTTATGCATATTTGTGTGTTATCACCCCGTTGAACTCAGTTTGCATTACGGCCCCAACCACTGTTTGATCTCATCGTCTGCCTAAGATCAATTCACAAACGTGGGTAGGCAGACTGGAGATCAATGCAGTTACCTTTGGTAACCAGGCGTTGGAAGCGAGTTGGGAACGACGAGGCTGATATCAAATCTAACCAGATTCCCACCCGAATCTCCAAAAGGTTAGAACGTCACATTTGGGTGCCGCGACCGATACCAAGCCAGTTGGTCGTCACAGGACGAGACAACACGACTGACGCGACAGGCGGACGTCACGTTTGGATCAGCGACACCCGAACGGAGCAGCGAGGAGCGAACAGCTGGCGCAGCGGCGAGGACGTCACAATTGGTGCTATAAAATTATTATCTAGCTTTGAATAACCTGCGAAGAGTTGAGAAACCGTAGAAAACGAATCAATTATGAATTTCTGGAATAAGAAATTATCACTTTTCTCTTTTTTTTTTTTTTTTTTAACAAGTTCACCCCAAGCAAAGCACTAAAGCAATGAAGACACATGGGGTTACTAGGTGTGGAACAGTTAGAAACAGAATAAATTACTAAAAGAGGAGAACAAAAGAGTAGCAACCAGGAGGAGAGGAGATGGCGATTGGCATTGAATTTACATTTTAGAACATGAATATAGCTAGAAAGGTTTAAATGATTAGATTTAGAGCTATTTTTCTTATCTTTGTTGTTCTTATCGCAAGTTTTTGGTCATTATGTTCTCCAGCCCTCGAAAAGAACTTGTCGACCAGGGCAACCTGCTGGGAGATTTCCAACTGAAACCATTATTTAATCTACGTCCGTAGATTGTTCTCGATACACTGATCATGTCTAGGGGATATCTCTCCTCGTTCTTACTTAATACGGCTCAGTTTTTTTTGTCTTGCCGTGCTTCCCCTGACTACGTCTGTATTATCTGGAGCAGGGATTGAACTCTCAATGTTAATAAATTCACGAATCTGTTCACTAAGCACATAGGCTACTGTTCTGTAGGACAATCTCAGTGTATAATTTCGATTTAAATTTGCCTGCTATTGCTGGATTGTCTCGATTGACTGCATTCATCGAGATTACTTTTTTTCTTACTACTGCAGCTGTTGAAGAAATAAGTGACTAGTGCTAAGCAAGAACTGAGATATACTAGACCATGAAGGGAATAACCTACAGCCGTCGGTTAAATAAACTATTCTGTTCGAATTTTCCTGAAGGTTGGTGAACTCGACAAGCATCTGATGAATGACTGAGGGCACAAAGGCCAAAAATTGGTGATAAAAAATGAGGACAGTAGCAGGGTATTTAAATTGTATATTTTTCATGAAAAAGGTTATTTCACTAAACGACACCAAGGTAAGGAGCAATAAATGCACACCCCCCACACACAAAAAAGTTGATTTGAAATTTAATTTCGTATCCTTAGGTTCCACACTAGTAGACAATGCTTTATTAGTTTATCAAACGAATGAACTAAAAAGACGTAATTAAAATGTTCTCGGGTTGACACAAATGCATATTTGATTGCGTCTGTCAGATTGCTTTTGATTATATATATATATAATGATGATGATCATCGGCCCTATAGCTAGATTTTGTCGTAGGTCACTGCACTCCTTGCGCACTTGATTATCTCACTTCACGTGCCTAGTTATGTGTTCAGGAATATGGCTGTTGTTTTTCTTTACTTATTTCTTTGATGTTGTATATAAATGCGAACAGGGAATGGTAAATGTTTCCTCCAGTAGTTATTGGGAATAGCAATGTTTCGAGATAGGAATCTAATGAAAGAAAAAAAAAATAACGTAAAGGATACCAAAGATAGATATCGTTATTGCTGATAATACTTTCTCGAAATATAGCTTACGGATTTGTTACTGCTGTCCAAAAATGAGAACATAACGAGAGGAATTTAAATGAAATGGGGGGAAAAAAGAAAATGTTTGTAGAGATATATTAGTAATGAATAAAGATGTTTAAATTTATGAAATTGGTTTTCCTGTTGTCGTTATTCATTGTAAACTATCTAAACCGACGTGTTTCGACTTTTTCAGATACAGTGTAATCCGGATATAAGAGATTTTTCTCTGCTCCCAAATTAGAGCCTGTGTTAATGTAAACAAAATAGACCAAACCCGGATATAAGAGACTTCTTCTCCGGTCCCGACAACTCTCTTATATCCGGGTTACACTGTATATTTTTAGTTATATATATATTAGTTTCTAATGTCTACTATATGTTTAATTTATAGGAACGTTCTAAAATTTCCTTTATTTATGCTGGATTTAATTTGTAGTTGAAATACTTCTCGCAACCTATTTTATAAATATTTTTTTCTGATAAAGACGAATAATTTATATTGTTCGGACTGTTTACCTCCTCTTTATCGCCAGATTCACAACGTTTCGGCCGTTGTACGCTCTGGTCTTCTTCAAGTGATTTGAATTTCGTAGTGAACCCTTTATTTCGTCCACCGGGGTAGATTGTTCCAATTCCACGGAACATGCCTTTAAATTAATTCTCCAAGCAGTAGCCAGGTATTGAACTCAAAACACTTTGGATCAAGTCAACTAAAGCTTTTATCCAATGACATGACCCAAAGTCTTCTCCGATCAATGTAAATAATTACAGTAGCTCATCTGAGAACCATAGACAGATAAAGGTGAATAAGTATAGAAAATTAGGTGCTAAACACTAGGCAGTGTAGGATTTGGAAGGCAGGATTAAATTAATAAGTCTCAGATATGCTTCAAGATATGAAAGAATCGGAATGCACTTTTACGACTTTAGTATACGCGCCCTTTGTTCGTCGCAGTCCTTAATTTGTCTTGATATCTTCAAATCATTTTTTTTTTTTTTCACGAGTATCTTCCGGATCTGATTTTTAAGATGAAAGCCGATGAAGTAAAGAAAAAAATAGACTCTGGATATGTAAATAATTGACGAAAATAGATATATAGGAAAATATCAGGACGACATAAAGGTTTTCTCTCTCACTTCCTTTTTATGTTTTCTCTCCTTTTTTTTTCTCATATTCACCTATACTTAATAACCCCTTACGTCTTAGTGGCTTTACTGAGTTTCTTGGGATGAAAGGGTTAAAGATAAGTAATTTAAAAATAACGTATAATATAGATTACGAAACAGTAAAAATATGAAAGAAAAAAAGTGTCGAGAGAAAGCTCAAATATTTCTTAGAATAGGTATTCTGGTCGCTTTTTGTATATTAATGTTCATCTGACACAAGGTCCAAGAGCCACTGGAGGTTGTTGAATTAATTTTTTTTTTTTTTTTTTTTTTTTGTATGAATGTAACAGGCGAAGTTGAGTACTGTCGGGATTATTTCACCGACGAGTAAGGGAGTTGGGGAAGGAAAGACAGTTTCAAGGCTTGCAACGAAAAGTCTGACGTTGCTTACAAGCGAAGTCTTCCTTGTAACAGTAACAAAA